ACTATTAAACAGTTGAGACATGACAGTTTTCATTTGACAGTTGACGCCATGTTGACACATTTGCACAAAATTAAAATTTATCAACAAATTTTAAACAATTTAAAACAATTCCCACCAACAATCTCAATTACAATGTCTTCTAAACACAAAACAAATAATTTAATTCATTATTTTAATATTTTAATTTCAATCTATATTTGACAACAGCAAACGTCACATGCTGACACGCTGACATTAGCTCTTGTCCAAGAATAATCTTATACAATATGTTCGAATTGGATTTATAGATTTATTTATTTATTTTAGTGAATTTGGAAGTCGAAAATGGCCTCTAAAGGGGGCCCCATGGTCTTGGGGACTGATGGGACGGATTTTTTACACAGGCAACGCGTTGCTGCACAATATCAGATAAGGTAATAATAAAAAAATTCTAACCTCAAATTAAAAATGATATATTTAGGTAGAAAGGATTGGGTTTGGTTGTTAAATTGTGGTTTGTTTGTTTTATAAACTAAATACTCAGTTTGAGGCACTAATAATAAGTTGTGTTAGATACATGTTTTATGTTGAATATATTATTTTAAAGTATTTGTTTTATTTCAGTGCTCTGAATAAATCTAGATTGAAATATTGTATATTTTTCCACTATCTACTCTTCTTTGCGATGCTTGCAAAGCTTTCCGCAGACATCTTGGACAGACTGGATATTTTTATATTAGAAATCGAGGAATTAGAAATTCCAACGGTAAAAAATAATTATGAACTTATAATGATTTTTAAAGAAAAAGTTAGTTAAGATTCAACGTGTTCTTTTTCCAGCCTTTATGGTGGGAATACATCTGGTGCCTATCAGTCGTCCTATCTTTTGTGGTCTGACAGCAGCCAGAAGAAACCGAGTAGCCCTGATGCAACGATACATGATAGGAATAGTCGTGCTGGGTTACTTGCCATTGTTATATTGTTTTATTTATTATTGTGGAGACGTTTTAGAGTATTTAGCTGAAGGACAAGACGCTGAGGACATTATTTTGTGGCAGGTAAGAAGTAAATATTGTATTGTACGGAACTCTGGTGCTTTGTAAGATCTTTGAGTATGATTTTTAAATTGCGCTTGTTGAGACCTTTTGTTTGATACTCCACATGCCTATATTTGATCTACTAAAGTTTTCTGCAACCCATTGGTCTACTTTTTATAATATCTCTGGTAACTTTTGAACCGTTTGTCCAAATTGAACGCAACATTCGAAAAATTTGTACTAATATAAATTATCTACAATATGTTATGATTTGTAACACTATAATAACTTGGTGTACACAAAAATTGTATAAATTTAAAATTATAAATTAAATACATGCTTTGTAAGGAATTCTATTGTATTCTACAGCATTTTGAGTATGATTTTTAGATAGTGCTCGCCGAGACCTTTCATTTGATACCCAACATGCATTTTTACTATTTGGAACATTTTGACCCACTGTACTGTATATAGTACGACGCGGTTCGATGCGACATCGGCTCGACTCGCTTGTGCATTTATTTATTAAAGTTGTTGTAACTTTCAAACCGGCCGTCCAATATCAATAACATATTAGAGAGATTTGTTCAAAAATATTTCATCTACCTAACATCATAAGTCGTACAGCTTTAATAACGCAAAAGAAAGTTAAAATTATGTCATTGTAATTTTATTGAATGTATAGTGTACGGAACCCTATTGGTTTTTTCAGTCTATAACTATGATATTCGTAAAGTGCTCGTCGAAACCTTTCATTTGATACCCCACATGCCATATTTGATGTGACAAAATCTTTGCCCTTATATTAATGTTTTAAATTTCATGAGCGCTTGTCGTGTCGGCCGAGCCTAACACGACGCTTTCCCATACATTTTTTCTTAGGTTTGGGTACGCATGGTAAGCGTTAGTGAAATATTTTTAGTACAAATGTATATGAATAGTTTTATCATGAACTAAGTGGTTTTTAGCCTCAAGGCAAGTTGCCTGAACGTTCCAATTTAATATTATTTAATTATTAATAATTATTTAATAATATTAGACATAGTAAATTCATATTAAATAATGTCAGAAACAAAACCTTTTTCGTATTTTCAAATCATTATTTTTATTGCTTGTTAGTAGAGTCCCTTTTTTAATATTGTAGATCGAAATTAAAGTTTGCTCATCAGTAGTGTCGCTTTTTTTTCTTCTCAAGGATTATTACTACTTTGTTTGATTGTCAGTAGAGTCCTTTTTTTTGTTTACATACTAATATTTCCTAATACAATTTTAGAAAATAAGAATTTTACTGACGAGCAAATTAAGAAAAGCAAATTTAAAAAGAACTCTACTGATGAGCAAATCTATAAATAAATGTAAAAGAATTCTACTGACGAGCAAATTAAGAGAAGCAAATTTAAAAAGAACTCTACTGATGAGCAAATTGAGAAAAATAAATTTAAAAAAAACTCTACTGACGAGCAAATTGAGAGAAACAAAATTAAAAAGAACTCTACTGATGAGCAAATTAAGAAAAACAAATTAAAAAAAAACTCTACTGACGAGTAAATTAAGAAAAACAAATTTAATTCATTCTATTGACGATTTGACAAACTAAATATAAGAAAGGACTCTACTGACTTTTAAATATATATTTAAAAAGAACTCTACTGACGAGCAAATTGAGAAAAACAAATTTAAAAAGAACTCTACTGATAAGCAAAATCAGGAAAACCAGATAAATGAACTTTATTGATGACGAATTAGGAAAAAATTTAAAAATAACTTTACTGATGAGCAAGTTAAAAAAAATGCTAAAGAACTCTACTGACGAGCAAATCAAGAAAAACAAATTTAAAAAGAACTCTACTGACGAGCAAATTAAGGAAAACAAATTTAAAAAGAACTCTACTGACGAGCAAATTTAAAAAAATGAAAAAGAACTTTACTGTTGAGCCAATTTGGGAATAAATTTAAAAAGGGACTCTACTGACAAGCAAATTTGGGAAATAGAATTGAAAAGAACTCTTCTGATGAGCAAATTAAAAAAATGCTAAAGAATTCTACTTACTATCAAATAAAGTATTAATAAATGATAAAAAGAACTCTACTGACGAGCAAATTGAGAAAAACAAATTTAAAAAGAACTCTGCTGACGAGCAAATTAATTTCGAATTCGATTTAAAAAAAAAATAGTAGCCTAATTTAAACAAAATTGAAAAATCGTAGTCACAGTCTAAACGCATTTGCAAATAATTCTGTGCTACATTTTCACTTATACCGTGCTTATCTTGGCCGCATTTTCACATTTCACTCTTTTCAAAAAATTCAAGAAATGACCCAGACTAAGGACAGTCTAAGCGCCACTCTGGTGCAAATGTTAAACCAAGTGCGTTTAGACTGTGACTATACGGGAGCAAGAATAATGAAAGTTACAGTATTTGTAATAATATATTTAAAAGCGTTTAAAATTTGTCGAATATTTCATTACGGTACGGGAAGTTCCAGCAATTTGCCTTAAGGCACGATGCCATACACTACTAGTTTTAATTTTTTAACTCAAAATGTAATTTTCCAAATAAATTTATACCAGGTTGTTACTTAGACTGTGCCTAGTTTGGATCATTTTTCGATTTTTTTCAACTAAAAATGGCATTTCTATAAAAATTTATATAGACTTAGATTGCCTCATGTTTCATTTCATTCAATAATTTTCTCAAAATTGGAAAAGTGCACCCGTACAGTCACATTCTAAACGCACTCATGAAAACATTTGTACCGCGTTGTCACTTAGACTGTGCCTAGCATGGGTCATTTTTCGATTTTTTTCAACATAAAATGTAATTTTTATAAATAATTTACATGAGATTTGAAAAGCGCTCCGGTGAAGTAACAATCTAAACGCACTCGTGAAAATATTTGTACCAGGCTGTCACTGAGACTGTGCTTAGCTTGGTTAATTTTCGTAATTTTTACTTCGAAATGGCATTTATTTATTTATTTATTCATAAGCAAGCCGTAATCAATAATAATAATATAAAAACTATTGAAAAATGCAAAAATGCCGCCAAGCTAAGCACAGTATAAGTGAAAATGTCGCACAGAATTATTTGCAAATGCGTTTAGACTGTGACTATACGGGAGCACTTTTTCAATTTGAACTTTTTTTTAGCAACTATTTTTTTTTTTAAACTGAATTCGAAATGAAATGACGATTGTTATTGTTCTGGAGATAAATTGATTTATGATTTATGATTTACATTTGATTTGCTCAAATTTAATAACAAGATAGTAAAAAATGATAAAGAAAGTTACAGTATTTGTAATATTATATATGAAAACGTTTAAAATGTCTCGAATATTTCATTGCGGTACGGGAAGTTCCAGCAATTTGCCTCAAGGCACGATGCCATACACCACTAGTTGTAATTTAAATTAATAAAAAAATGTAAAAGAAAGTCTACTGACGAGTAAATTAAGAAAATATAATAAAAAGAACTCCCTTTTTCTTTCAGGGTTACCCTTACGGTTTGCTGTGGTACGGTTTTCTATTACTAGCAACGCAAGTACATTTCTTCTCGTTATACTTTGCCTGGAATTTGGTGACAGCTTGGAAGTCCAAGGGGGCACGAAAAGCTGAATAAACGCTAAATAAACGCTAAATAGAAATATAAATATGTATATAGTTTACGCAATTTGAAGACAGGTATATTAATTAGATATATACTCATTGTTTAATTTTATTTCTGTTACGAGAAACTGCCATCGAGTTGTATTATAAAAGATTGTTTTATTTTGTTTATTGATTTGTTTATTTATTTATAAATGTAAGGAGTCACTTTACATGTACTTATATATATTTACATACAACTCGATAATGATGTTAAATATTATAAATATTTCTATATATGACAATTGGAATTTGAGAATAAAGCTCTCTTTATACAAACATAATATATATATTTATTACTTATAATCGACTGAATAATTATAGTCTATTGTAGATTAACACGATCCATATTGTTGAATCCACTGTTCATATTTTTCCACGTCACTTGCTGTCACTGATTTTTTGCAACGTGTAAGGGCTTCTTGAAAGTCCAATGTCGTTACAGGAAGATCGAATTCTTCACGTTTCATCCTTTTGATTTCTGATGGAGTCCTTCCTGATATGCGTTTACGCATTGACATCATTGAAGCATCCCTGGAAGGAATAATATAAAATAAATATACATACATTTAAAACAAAACATAGATTTGAATAATTCTAAAAATGATTTGAAGTGACGTGAAGTGAGAAGTTGGTTTCAGGATTTTTTCAACTGTCAATTTATATTTTGTAATGCAAATATATTATAAACATTGGATATGCATTAAATAGTATTTATACGTTTGTAAAGATGTTATAATTAATAATTAAATACTATTTCGACATTTAATAATAATAATTAACTTGGTATTGTTAACGTTGACAGTTTGGCGTCCGTTGTGAAGTTCGTTCTTAGTATTTATACAAATTTATATTTATTTCATGTTCTTTTTTAGTTTTTTGGTCTTAATAACTAATAATATCAATATCTTTTATATCATAAATATCCTATACAAGTTAAAATATATTATTAAAACTTATTATCATATTTGCAAAATCCTTTTTGTCAAAAGTATAAATTATTATCGATATAGTTTTTGTCTAGATATGGTGACACTGCAAAAATAAGAACGTTGTTCACCGGTGTTCGTTGAACGTCGTTGTCCAACGCGTAATGGCGGAATAAACATTGTTTTAGTAAATCAAGACATTTGCACGTTATTTGTGTTATTACAAAGTGTTCTGTGGTTTGTTTTATATATTAAAATGACTATAGTTATTTAGTGAAGTGTTTGCTGTAAAATCTACGGTTCAATATTAACAGACAGTGTTATTATAATAACAGAAATATTATTATTAAATTTAGAATCGCAACTGTCGGACACGCAATGGCGGAACAATAGTTGGTTTTAATAAACAGAGAATAAAATTAAAATTGTGCATAATAAAATTAAGATTATTTTTTAGCGAAATGTAGTCCGCTAAAATCTAATGTTTGTTGTTAATAGATAGTGTTTATGAATTAAATTCTAAAATTTTGCTATTAATCAAGTTTTTAAAGCAAGGATTTTGCAATAATGGCGTTGTTATGTAAGTGTAAAGTGTTTGTGATTTGGGTACTGAAACATCTTATATGTATATTTGTTTTTATATTCTCTTATTTCTTTATTATTGTTTTTTAATATCATATGTTATAAGATAATAAAATACATAAAAAGTGCAAATTAAGTGAGTCATAACTTGTTTATTTTTATCGTAAGAGTAAAAGTTTGAATATTTAGGCATATTTATAATCAAAATATTGTGATTAATCCTCGATGTTGGAATTTAGAAAAATATTGGTAAGTAAGAATGTATACAATATATAATTTGATAATATATAAAATATTTTTTTATCATTTAATTTATTTATTATCATAATATTTTAATATCTAAAATATTTTTACTAAATGCTTTACCGAATATTATTATTTTTTCCGTAAATCGATAAAAATTAGATTTTAGCAAATTTATTTTATAAAGTATCAAAAAATGTTGAAACAATGGCAAATAAACTGCAAATGGACTCTACTGACGAGCAAACTAAAATGATTCAAAAGGAAATTTGTGCGTCAGTAAAGTCCTCTTTACGATTTTATAAAATTTTGCTCGTCAGTAGATTCCCTTTTATAGTTTATTTTTAATTTGCTTGTCAGTAGAGTCCCTTTCACGTTTTTTTTATTCTTTTGTCAGTAGCCTTTTTTATGCTTCTTTCTGAAGTTGTTAGCCAGTAGAGTCCTTTTTAGGTTTTTTTAATTTTTGCTCTTCAGTAGAGTCCTCTTTTACGATTTTTGTAAAATTTGCTCATCAGTAGAGTCCCTTTTACATTTTTTGAAGTAAAACTTCTTTAGGCGCGATATGGGTGTAAAAATTTTTAGGCGCGACACGGGTGTAAATCCGTACAAATGCAACGAAAATGCCAACGTGTAGTTGAACACTACGACGCCGTAAGCGCTGATGTCGCGAGTATCCACTCATATCGCGTCATGTCATGCGTAAGTCGAGCGCTAAACCCTATATGAACTTGCATTAATTGAATCACGTTTTTTATGTTATGTCCTCATGGAATAAGACTTTTCTTAGAGAATAAATGTGTCATGGAATATAATAAATTTATACTGAATCTCGTTGAAGACAAAATAATATCTACTGCCACGGATATTTATGTAGGTTGCCATGCGACAGATCAACAATCATACATTCGTCAGCAGTTTCACAAAAATCGGTTATTGATACCGCGGGTTTGCCGTATGAAATAATTTTAGTTCTGAATAAATTTTACATTATAACAACTAATATTGATGTAAGTGATGGCTTAGCTAATGGTTGTGTAGGAAAATTAGTGTACATAGAACGTGGCGATAATGATGAACTTCTACGTTTATGGTTTGAATTTCCTGGTAAGATAGGTAACAAAATAAGAAGAAAGCTGCACATCATATTCAAACTCTTAATATCAGTAGGACAGCTGTGCCGATTCTCAGGAGATCTTCATCTATTCCAATGAATAGAAATAAAATCATATTTGTCAAAAGAAATCATTTTCCTTTAGTGTCTGCTTGTGCACTCACAATACACAAATCACAAGGTGGTACTTTTGATAAAATTGTATATGAATACAATAAAACATATAATCAGCAGCTTCTATATGTTGCATTATCACGAGTTACCAGCATTAATGGATTGTTCATCATTTCAAAAAATTTTATCATGGAAGAAAACGGCCAGCAGGATTAATGAACTTAAAAACTGAATTCCAAAGACTTTCAACTTGTAGATTAATAACACAAGAAGAAAAATTGAGTGAGATAATAAGTTTGAACGACATTTCATTGTTTTCCTTTAACTGCCAAAGTTTACGAGCTCATTTGCCTGATCTGCAAGATAAAGTGCTACAACGTTGTACGTTTTTGTTATTTTCGGAAACTTGGATTAATAATGAAGAACGAATTAATATTCAGAACTATTACTGCGTTACTCAATACAAACGATCGGACTCAAGAGCAGGTGGTGTAGCTGTCTAATGTCTATTATTCATGTTCAGATACTCTTCATAATGCGACTCCTATGCAGTTTCTTGCGCCAACGATATTACTGGATATTTCTAATGAAATTACACAAGTAGGTGATATTACACACACAGAATCAAACATTGATTATAGTCGTCCTTTACATTTCTCCCAATAAAAACATATCAAATATTATTAAATTTCTTCATCAGCAGTTACTTCATTTTTCTTATGAGGGTGCAAAACTTTTAAACACTAATCACAACGAGATACCATTAATTCTTGCTGGAGATTTCAATGTCAATTTTCGTTCAGAAGAATCTCAACCATTAATTGATTTTTTAAATAATAAATTTAATTTAACAATGAATAATTCTCCATTTGAATCAACCACAAGATATGGCACGACTATTGATGCAGTTTTCTCCAGAAATGTACATAGTTTACAAAGCAAAATTTATGTCTCTCATTTTAGTTATCACAAACCTATTATATCATATATGAAATATGATAGCAATTAATCTATCGATGTTGTTTTAAACTGTGTTATTGATGTTATGTGATTATTAATAAATGATTTTTAAAATTTAAATATGATGTTTTTTTATTTTTATCTTAATTGCCTACTCATACAATATTAAAAGTTTTACTTCAATCGCGTGTGATCCTTACGCGCACTCTTTTTACTTATTTTACATCTTTTCTAAATTAACTTATCAGTACAGATATTTGGACGTTTTTTTCTTGTTAGTAGAGTTTCTTTTGCATTTTATTCCTATTAAATAATTTGCTCGTCAGTAGAGTCCCAATTAATTTTTTTTATTTTGCTAGTCAGTAGAGTCCCAATTATATTTTCTTCTAAATTTGCTTGTCAGTAAAATTTTCTAAATTTTTTTCTCAATTTGTCAGTAGAGTTCTTCGTACAATGCAACAAAACAACTTATTATAATTTGTATATAAAATGTTTTAAAATTACTGCATTTAATTTTGAACAATGTACCCAACACATGTGAAGTTGTACGCGGGTTAGTACTGTCAACTCTTGTTTTGACCGTTAACATTTGAATTTGAATTTTAAATAAAATATTTGTTTTTTATCATTAACTATAACGTTTATATAACTATAACGTGAATAATTTTGTTCGAATCGTGGTAAATTGTTATATACAGATTTGTAGATAAATTTATTAGCTTTTTAACCATATATAATAATATGTATGTTGTAAAACAAATTTTAGCAATATAAACGTAAATATAAACAAATGTTACCAATGGCTAACTGAATTTTAAATTTTACATATTATTCACAATTAATTTTGTTCGAAAAGTTTTCAAACGTTATATACAGATTTGTAGATAATTTTATTATCTTTCTAACAATATATAATACTCTAATTCTATATAATAAAATAAACGTACAACCAATGAAACTAACATACATGTAGCAAATAACTTATTATAATTTGTATATAAAATGTTTTAAAATTACTGCATTTAATTTTGAACATTGTACCCAACAACATGAAGTTGTACGCGGTTCGGTACTGTCAACTCTTTTTTGACCGTTGATATTTGAATTTGAATTTACAATATAATATTTGTGTTTTATAATTAGCTATACCATTGAATTTTTTACAATATATAATAATGTATTGAACGAAATATTTATAAATGAAATAGTGTATAATTATTTACCTGCAAACATTGACAATATCAGCGGCTGTATATCCTTCCAAAAGATCACCGATAACATTCGAATCTGCGTCCATCGTTATGTCCTGCATGCATAAGTGTAAAAGGGCCGACCGGCTCTCGTCTTAAATTAATAAAAAACATTATATATATATATATATATATAATTAGAATATAGTTTATAATTACCATCGGGCAACCCTATATATACTCGTTTCTCAAATCGTCTCCGAAAAGCTTCATCGATGTCCCAGGGATGATTTGTGGCGGCCAGAACCATTATTACTTTGTCATCGGGTCTGAAAATAAATAAATATTACATAATAATACACTAGTGGTGTATGGCATCGTGTCTTAAGGCAAATTGCTGGAACTTCCCGTACCGTAATGAAATATTCGAGAAATTTTAAACGTTTTCAAATATATTATAAAAAATACCGTAACTTTCATTATTTTTGCTATCTTGTTAAATCTGAACATAAAATTGAAAAAGTGCCCCTGTAAAGTCGAGTAAAAAGTGCCCCTGTATAAAAGAATAAAAAAAGGACTCTACTGACGAGCAAACTTTAATTTTTGATCAAGAAAATAATAAAAGACTCTACTGACGAGCAGATTTATTTTTAATCTGAAAGATTAAAAAAGGGACTCTACTGACGAGCAAACTTAATTTTGATCTAGAAAATAAAAAATGGTCTTTACTGACGAGCAAATTTAATTTTGATTTAGAATATAAAAAAGGAACTCTACTGACGAGCAAACTTAATTTTGATTTAGAATATATAAAAAAAGAACTCTACTGACGAGCAAACTTGTTTTTGATCTAGAAAATAGAAACAAATAATGTGTAGTAATATTAAATAGAAGAAACCTATTGAGAAGTATTATCTAAAAGCAATAAAAAGGACTCTACTGACGAGCGAATTCTTGAAACAATTAATGAGTAAAAATTTTGGACAACAAAAGAACTCTACTGACAAGCAAATCTACAAGAAAGTAAAAAAATGAACTCTGCTGACGCTAAATCTCAATAATTATTTATCAAGTCATATTGATTGATGTTTTGGAAAGTTCAAGCAACTTGCCTTAAGGCATAATGTCCTATTATCTATCTATTTAAACTTAAATCTGTTTAAACAACCTATTGTTCAAATAGACTGAAATATATATGTTTCATATTTGAAACAACTCGAGAAAATAAATTGCGCAGTGTGAAACACGCTTTATGGTAAAGCCGTTACCACACTTGCAATTTTATATATAGCGCGCGAGAAGAGTTTTGTATGAAACCGGATACATGTGTTGACGGCTTTAGCGTTTAAAGCTGTTTTCACACTTGAGATTTTGAATAAAAATTTAATAAAACATTAAATAAAATTGAAATTTTAATAAATTATTATGCCTTTACAACTATTTATGTTTTATTATTATTAAATGAGCATATTATATTATTTTTCTCTATTTACCCTGTATGATTGAGCCCGTCCATTTGTATAAGCAATTCCGCCTTGAACCTCCTGCTGGCCTCGTGCTCCGAATCGGAGCCCCTCGCCGAACAAAGGGCGTCCATTTCGTCGATAAAAATCGTGCTGGGGGCATGCCAGCGGGCCATGTCGAACAGGAGGCGGACCTGGATAATAATTCATTTTAAATATTAGTTACCTAATTTATAAATGAGAAATTAATGTTATTTACCAGTTTTTCCGAGTCGCCTCTGTATTTAGATGTGAGCGTTGCTGATGACACGTTGAAGAAGGTGGTGCCACATTCGGTGGCCACTGCTTTGGCCAGGAGGGTCTTTCCGGTTCCGGGGGGTCCTACCATCAGGACGCCCTTCCAGGGCCTTCTTATACCCTTGAAAAAGTCCGGCATGATGATAGGTAAGACCATAGCCTCCTGCAGCAGAGCCTTGGCTTCGTGCAAACCCGCCACTTTGTTCCACTGATATCAGGGTTTCTCTGCAAAATGTCTTTCTCTATGGTGTCTACTAAATGGGGTTCGTAGCCTACTGCACTGAAAACCCTTCCACTAAAAAAAGAAAAAACAGAATTATATTTTATTATTGGAATGTTAAGCTGGTCTATTTCTGTGTAATAAACATGAAACGTCGATGTTAACTATAGTTTACATAATGATAAAGAATAAAAAAATTAAAAAGATCAAAATGGCGAGTCAACCAGTGCTCCTACCAGATTTTGGTTATTTGTAAAAGCACACCGTTAGATGGCGCCATAATTAATTATATTTTAACCATATTCCCGCCCGATGCGCAAGCATCCGTCATTGCATAAATTCTCATGTCATTTCACAGGCGGATAAAATTTTACAAAAATGTCAAAAACGTTAATATTTTGTTCGGAAACATAAAATTCTATAAATGTATACTTTTAGCCTTTTAAGAATACTATACTAAAATTTCAACCCTTAACTATATATAGTACAGCCGGTATAATTCTTAAAAACGAGAATATTTTATTTGCAAAGTGACTCCATAAGCGTACAAAATTTTAGAAATATGTCAAAAACTTTACTAATTTCTTAAAAAACAATAAAATTTAAGTATGTACACTTATAGTATATACTTTTAGGAATAATATACTAAAATTCCAGCCCTTAACTATATATAATACAGACGATATAAATTTTTAAAACTAGGGTATTGATATTTGAAGTTAATATGTACAAGACAAAGTTGAAGGTGACAAAATTTTATAAATTGTCAAAAAACTTAAATAATTTGTTTGAAAGCGTAAAAAATGTAAGTATGTACACTTATTGTATAATGAACTTAAATGAAACGTCGATGTTAACATGTCTCAGCCATGTTTTATTGACAACTATTATTTTACATAATAATAAAGAATAAAATTGAAAGCTCAAAATGGCGGGTCAACCAAGGTCCTTACCAGATTTTGGTTATTTGTAAAAGCACACCGTTAGATGGCGACATAATTAATTATATTTTAATAATATCTCCCTTACCTCCGGACTAACCGATTTGAATGATTCAAAAAAATATTGAAATGTTTTAAGAATAACAATTTGTTTAATTTTTTTACCTGTTGCACTCCCTTTCCTCCGACTAACTTCAGGATCGGACGAGACCGCGTTGTCTTCGTCGAAGTCGCCTTTCTCAAAGGCCGGATTCCTTTGACAAGGGTGCAAGTTGGTGGATGTGGGGCTCGGCAGGGCCGTACTCGCTTTGCGTTCCTAAAAAGTGAAAATATTGTTATGAATCGATGTTAATAGATTTGATTAACACAGACAATTCTTTGTTAAAAATTATCATATTTATATGTTGTCATAAATGAATTCTTCTTGTTTTTTAACTTCTATTTTACATTTAAATTTGTTGGTCAGTAGAGTTCTTTTGTTGATTCCAACATTATATTTGGTAAAATTCTCGTTCATTCTTATATTTTAATATTAACTATCAAGAAAGTACAGTCTTTTTCTCTTATGTTTACAACAATATTTAATTAGCTCCTCAGTAGAGTCCTTTTTATCTTCACACTTTTATTTAATTTACTTGGCGGTGAAAATCTTTTGTTTCTTTCAGTCCCTTTTCATCTATGTAGCTAGACAAATATTGAATTTGCTCGTTAGTAGAGTTTTTTTTAAATTATTTTATCTAGGTATTCAGTTTGCTCGTCAGTAGAGTTATTTTTATTGTTATTGCTTCATTGACGGTTTGTTAGTGGAGTCCTTTTTCGTTTTATAGATTGAATTCAATTTACTCATAAGTAGAGTTCCTGTATTATTGTCGATATTTATTATTATTATTATTTATTTAGTTTGCTCGCGAGTAAAGTCCTTTTCTAATCCACCAAATTGATATTTATCTTGCTTGTTTGTAGATTCTCTTATATTTTATCTAGATATTCAATTTTATCGTCAGTAAAGCTGTTTTTTAATGTTTTGTGTAGATATTTAATTTGCTCGTTAGTCGAGCTTCTTTCATATAT